TTCATATACTCCTAACATCCCTCGTTTTCTCAAAATATAAAGATTAACCCATTCGCGCCGGGCGTCACGTATAGGTGACAAGCCCACTGTGAGTTTACTTGTTTGATTGTTTAATAACATAGATGGCTCCACTTGCACTTGTACTGCCTGTCTCGTCTGTTTACCCTTTTCTTTAATTTACGAAATTATTTTGCATTATCTTATTTTGCTGTTACTAATGTTTATAACATTATAGTAATTATAATGTTTATAATAAAAATAACCATCGATATTCATAGCACTAGTAAAAATACATTTTCCCGCCAAATGAAATCAGGTAAAGCAGAGCCATCTAGTGTAGAGAAATTTCATTAAAAAATATAAAAAATGAGCACAGCATTTCCCCCATTTTTTGTTCATTTTTACCCGGCGCGAATGGGTTAATTGCTCTTGGCTAGGTCTCACCTGTGTAATAATGTAAAGGTCTTGTTTGAAGAAGAACACAGAATTTTACCATACTATACTATAATACAAAGCTTGGTTTGACAACACTGACACACACACACATATATATACTGTATATATAGTATATATAGTATTCTATTCTACATCCAGAATGATAAAATGCACTCATTACAATAGTAATGAAACACGGACACACAGGCTATAAGGTCGCAGTTCCCAGTAGAATAAAAAAGCATAAAACCAGTAAGTCTGCATTACTCATACGTCAGTAAAACATTGATGCCTTGATGACAATTTTCGTATATGTTATGACAAGGATTTTCTTTCGTTTTACCTATTACATTGTTGTACCTATCGTTTTCATTAAACCTATTTTTTGTTTTTTTTATAATTTTCGTTTAATCTATGTATGTTATAAAATGATTGATATAGATTTCATATTACAAACATAGCCTTAAATATTGGGGAAAAAATAGATATAGAGACATTGAGGGAATATTTGAAGATACAGACATACAGAGTAAAGGAGAGAAAATGATTTTTTTTTTTCTTCTTACAGTTTTATTTTCTAAATAGTTGTAATTCGCTGAAGCAAAGTATTTTTCGTCTTGCAATCTGACTCTTAAAAGGCTCGTGCACTGAAGAACTATTATATATGCTAGAGTCATCTTTAAGGTGTTTTTCTTAGTGTAGGTGTGAATTTGTGTACGAAATAATAGGTTCATACGATAAAGACATTACATGCATTTTATTTTATTTTGAGAGGCAGCACACAATATTATCAACAAAAGAGACAAACCAGTTCGTTAACAACACAGCACAAAACTGAACAATGAATCTAACCATAATAAGACTGTTGGCAGCAATAATACTGTTTAGTATAACTACTCTTGCATCAGTACTTGCGCTTGTAATCAGATGCGGGTATATGGATAAGCATTTACATGTATAAATATATACATTGATATACATACATATATAGATACATACATTGATATACATACATATATAGATACATACATACATATATGTAGATATAAATATATATATATATATGAATGTAAACATATCTACATATGCGTGTGTTTGTACAGTATATATGCATATAATCACCTACACACACACAAACGCAGACATATACACGCATATATAACATGTTATGAAGCGACAAATTATACTGGCATTAATGCTGATGCATTTACTAGTGTAAAGATGTGGAATAATGTCATAAAATCCGATTACATACTTTTTATTTGAGAAGCAGCAAACAATTTCTTCCATATAAGAGATAAACTGGTTCGTCCACGGTATAGTCAGTACAATACTGAACTATGAATCTAGCCATAAAAAGACTGTTGGCAGCAGTAATACTGTTTAGTGTAACTACTCTTGCACCAGTACTTGCACTTGTTGTAACCAGATGCGGGTTGGTTGAGGTGGAAGCCGAAACCAGGGACAAGACCAGGGAAATGGGCGGGGTTGAAGGATCCAGCGCCGAAGGATCCAGCGCCGAAGGATCCAGCGCCGTGGATGCCAGAGCCTACGAGTCCTACGCCATGAGCGCTACCTCCGTGGATACCAGCAGATGAATGGACACTGCCGTGGACACCAAGAGGTCTGTGTCCACCAGAACCGTAGCTTCTGTGTCCAGCAACTGCTGCTACGAGGCACAGAGCCACGAGGAGGGAGGTCACTGCCACGTTACGAGCCATTCTGAAAAAAAAAAAAAATAATAATGTGATACATTATATTTACATTATATGTGTAACAAAATTCACACATGTGAATCCTCGACCGATGGTTTAAGAGAATGAGGTTCATCTTCAGTCGTTACCTGAACTTCAACTGCGTGCTGTGTTCTGAGGTTTCCTTCACACTGCCTCCTTATATACAGATTCTCGTCCAGGGAACTCCAGACAAGAACTGATGTTGCTAGCAGTCTCCATTTTCTTTCATGCAACAGTGACTATTTTCTTTAATTCATCAGCACAGTCAACCTATTTGGTAAATTACTATTCATATCGAAAAAAAGCCACATCGAAAATATAAATTATATTACTAATGCGTTCCAGAAAGCAATATTCCTTTATTACACCCATTATTGTTAATAAGAAGTAATTGAGCATGGCAAGCAGTGGCAATGCTGATGGCGAAACCAAGATTTCCAAGCAACTAGGCAATATCTGGAAGAGGTTACCTAAGCAGATTCTGATTTTCTGTTGATATTGCTTAGTTATTCATGTTTTATTTATTTGATTTCACCATTTATTTAAAAATGAAGACCCGTTGTCCTTCTTATCATCATTAAATCATTATCATTACCATTGTTACCCTTATTATTATCATTATAATTTTTATTGTTGTTTTTGAATATTTTATCATTATCTATTTATATATAAAGACCCATTATTATCGTTATCATCATTATATACACCATTATCAATATTATTGTTACTCTTATCACCACTATATTATTATTATCATTGTTGTTATTGATTATATTATCATCATCATCATAAGGATCGTATTTTTTTGTCTGATTTGCGAAGCAGAACCTCGCCCGGGATATGCCTATGAGGGGAGCCAGTATCATACATAGCACTTTTAATATAAAAATATATACTGATGACTACAAGTGAACAGTGATAATGAAAGGTAGACATACACAAACAGATAGATAAATACACAGATGGAAGGAAAGTGAAAGAGAGAGAATTCACTGTATAGTTTATATCTACACACGCTCACGAACACACGCACACAAACACACATACACATGCACATACACAAACACAGACACATACACACACATATATATAAACCTTATGCATATATATATATATTTAAACAGTATATGTATATATATTTATATATATATAGATAGATATATGTATATACATATATACATACTTATACACACACATACATTTACATATATATGTACGCACATACACACACATGCCTATAAAGAATATATGCTTTATTTTGAAGCATAACTTTGTGCTGATATAATTTTGGTAAAAAAGCCTAAATATTTATTCCTGGTAAGTTTGCATGTATGAAATTATGACACTTAAGAATCTTACAATCAAGAACAGAAATAACACAATAATGATAATAATAATTTTAATGATAACAATGATAGTAGCAAATAACATTATAAGAATAATATTAATCATGATTGATGATGATAAAGATAGCATTGGTGAATTACAAAGATAACCCCAATATCAAAATAAAGTTGATTATGTAATAAAACAAACTGTGAACATTAGAATAAAGATACAAAGAACTTTTTAAACATTTTCTCCTGAGATAATCAAGAAAGTCATTAAAGCACCGAGAAATATCATTCATTCGCTTGGAAACCTACGTAGTCCATAGTCACACACGTTATCACAACAGGGTCCCCAAAAGCCATCATTGTGGAAATGATGTACTGCAGTTTCATTGATCGTGGATATCACCATCATTGACAAGAACCCTCTAAACCTATCTATTTTCAATCCATTTTCCTCTTCACTCCCTTTCAACCCCAACCACCAGTGCCCCCTCTCTGTTCCTATCTTTTACACCCCCACCATACACATATATAAGAATATATATATGTGTGTGTGTAATCTAGAATATTGTAAAATCCTATGACGGTGTTCAATCAGTGTGTTCAACGTTGAAGTGTACCTATTTGGGACACTAGTGCCTACAGAAAACGAAATTTTGGCAGGTAAGCTGTTGGTATCATGTTAATATCTTTAAGGTTAGAGACCAGTAAGTTTGTCAGTTTGAGTGATTCTTTAATGGCAATTTTCGTATACATTATGAAATATTTCAGATTCGTTCATCTTTTTCGTTCCATTAAATATTCACTTTTTTTTTCGTCATGTGGCTGTACGGTTGCAATTCAGAAGTTCTTACTTATATGGAAGCACTACAAGACATGTTCGTAAAAATAATATACATATATATACATATAAATATATGCATATGTGCACACGTATGTGTATATAATATATGTACATACATACAGATACTCATGTATGTATACATATAAATACGACATATATATATAAGAATATATGTGTGCACATACAGGTACTTATATACTTATATATACACATATATGTGTGTATGTTTGCGAGTGTATATATAGAAATGTATATATATGTATATATACATTATGCATATAGATATACATATACATTTATATATATAGATAGATTGATATACATGCATATATAGATACATACATACATATATATAGATATAAATATATATGAATATAAATATATTGATATATGTGTGTGTGTACAGTATATGTGTATATAAACACCTACACTCACAGACGCAGACATATACACACACATATAGAATATGTCTTGAAGCGACAAATTATACTGGTAATAATGCATATGCATTTACTAGTGTAAAAATGTGGAATAATGTCATAAAATCTGATTACATACTCTTTATTTAAGAAGCAGTAAACAACTTTGTCCATATAAGAGATATACTGGTTCGTCCACGGTATAGTCAGTACAATACTGAACTATGAATCTAGCCATAATAAGACTGTTGGCAGCAATAATACTGATTAGTGTAACTACTCTTGCACCAGTACTTGCACTTGTTGTAACCAGATGCGGGTTGGTTGAGGTGGAAGCCGAAACCAGGCACAAGACCAGGGAAATGGGCGGGGTTGAAGGATCCAGCGCCGAAGGATCCAGCACCGAAGGATCCAGCGCCGTGGATGCCAGAGCCTACGAGTCCTACGCCATGAGCGCTACCTCCGTGGATACCAGCAGATGAATGGACACTGCCGTGGACACCAAGAGGTCTGTGTCCACCAGAACCGTAGCTTCTGTGTCCAGCAACTGCTGCTACGAGGCACAGAGCCACGAGGAGGGAGGTCACTGCCACGTTACGAGCCATTCTGAAAGGATATGCGATACTTTATATTTACATTATAGATGAAGTGGTCTGAAAACGGATATGAAAATTATGACATGACACTTTATCTGATTTCTCACTGAAACTACTTGATTGAGGATGGGAGGACGTATTTTCCGGATTTTAAACAATGTCATTAACATTCTAATTACGATATAATATTCATACAGTATCCGTATTAATAACAAAAATTCCTTTTATGGAGTGGAGAAATCAGGTGTGGCCACAAAGAACCTATTGACTCCTTGGTGGCTGAGCACTTATGGAGCCATCTATTCACACATGTGAATCCTCGACCGATGGTTTAAGAGAATGAAGTTCATCTTCAGTCGTTACCTGAACTTCAACTGCGTGCTGTGTTCTGAGATTTCCTTCACACTGCCTCCTTATATACAGATTCTCGTCCAGGGAACTCCAGACAAGAGCTGATGTTGCTAGCAGTCTCCATTTTCTTTCATGCATCAGTGACTATTTTCTTTAATTTATCAGCACAGTCAACCTATTTGGTAAATTACTATTCATATCGAAAAGTCATATCGAAAATATAAACGATATTAGTAATGCTTTCCAGAAAGCAATATGCCTGTATAACACCTATTATTATTAATAATAAGTGATTGAGTATGGCAAGCATTGGCAATACTGATGGCGAAACCAGGATTTCCAGGCAACGAGGCAATATCTGGAAGAGGTTAGCGAAGCAGATTCTGATTTTGTGTTGTATTGTTTAGTTAATAATTTGTTTTGTTTATTTAATTTCATCACTTATTTATATATGAAGACCCATTATTCTTGTTATTATCATCATCATTACATCATTTTCATTATGGTTACTCTTATTATCTCTATCATCATTATTATTAATGTTGTTATTGATTATATGATTTTATTATCATCATCATTATCTATATATCTATGAAGACTCATTATTCTTGTTATTATCGTTATCATCATCATTGTCATTATCATTAAACTATTGTTATTCTTATCGTTATCACTATACTTTTTATTATTATGCTTGTTATTGATTATACTATCTTATTATTATCATCATCGTAATAATTATCAAACATTGTACTTCTTTAGGATAAAATATCTCAATATACAGATGACTACGAATGAACAATGATAATGAAAGATAGACACAAGCACAGAGATAAATAGAGAGAAAGAATGAAAGGGAGAGAGAAAGAGAAATCACTGTATAGTTTATATCTAAATCATCTTTTGATATTGATGATACACATACACACACACACATATATATATATTATAAAATCCTTATGCATTCATATATATGTGTGTGTGTGTGTGTGTATAAACAGTATACGTATATGTATTTATATGTATAGATATATAGATGTATTTTTATTGTTGTTTTTGGACATACAATTTTATCATCATCGTCATCATTATCTATTTATCTATGAAGACCCATTATTATTGTTATTATTATCGTTATCATTATTATATGCATCATTATCAATATTATTGTTATTCTTATTATAATCACTATGATTTTTATTATCATTGTTGTTATTGATTATATTGTTATTATTATGATCATCATCATCATAAGTATCATACATAGAACTTTTAGGACAAAATATACTAATGACTAGAAGTGAACAATGATAATGAAGGATAGACAGACAGATAGATAAATAAACAGAGGGAGGGAAAGTGAGGGAGAGAGAGAATTCACTGTATAGTCTATATCTATATCATATTTTGATTTTGATAACACACATACACACAAACACACACACATACACGCACACACATATACGTACACACACATACACGCACAAACACACACACACACATATATATAATCCTTATGTATATATATGTATATGTATAGATATATGTATATACATACATACGTATATACACATATATATATACATATATATGTACACACATACACACACATGCCTATAAACAATATATGCTTTATTTTGAAGTATAACTTTGTGCTGATATAATTTGGGTGAAAAAAAAACATCTAAATATTTATTCCTGGTAAGTTTGCATGGATGGAATTATTACACTTAAGAGTCTTGCAATCAAGAACAGAAATAACACAATAATGAGAATAATAATTTTGATAATAATAATAATAGCGAATAATATTAAAAGAATAATATTAACCATGATTGATAGCATTGATGAATTACAAAGATAACCCCAATATCAGAAAAAAGCTGATTATGTAATAAAACAAACTGTGAACATTAGAATAAAAGTACAAAGAACTTTTTTAACGTTTTCTCCTGTGATAATCAAGAGCGTTATTAAAGCACCGAGGAATATCATTCATTCGCTTGGAAACCTACGTAGTCCATAATCACACACGTTATCACAACACGGTTCCCAAAAGCCATTATTGTGGAAATGATGTACTGTAGTTTCAATGATCGTGGATATCACCATCATTGACAAGAACCCTCTAAACCTATCTATTTTCAATCCATGTGGCTGTACGGTTGCAATTCAGAGGTAAGAAGTTCTTACTTATATGGAAGCACTACAAGACATGTTCGTAAAAATAATATACATATATATACATATACATATATGCATATGTGCACACGT